GTTAATAGCCATAATATATAAAGAATGCTAATGAGCCAATAAGAAAACAAAACTAATACAACCCAAAAAGTAAGGATAAAAAATTAATTTGCAGTCGCTGTCAGCTTCACGGTGGCTGGGACCAAGTCTGTCTTGCTCAGTGGAGCATCTCAGCTCAGTGCCCGGCTCAGTGCCTCACACTTTGTGGGTGTTTAGTAAATATTTGTTACTAATAATCAATGATTGGCGCTGTTTCCCGGGGGCTTACTCTGTGCTCTGTAAGCAGCAGGCCCTTTCCAAGTTCCTTTTCATCCCTGCAGAAACCCTCAAAGGAAGGTGCCCTCCTTGTTGCCACGGGGCGCACGGCTGCAGAGGTGAAGCAGCCGCCCGGTGGTCGCGGGAGGCGCTGCCGCCGAGGGTGGAGCCCAGCCCACGCTGTCAGGCTGCCGTGTGCATCCCATCCTCTGGCTTATTACTGAGATGAGTTGGAAAAGGTAGGGTGCTAGTGTCCAGCAAACACGGAGAAAATTCCAACCTCATTAAGGATCAGAGAATAAAAATGAAAAGCCGTCTGTCGCTGTGGGGGCTGGAGAAGGACCCTCGCGCTTTCCTGGCAGAGACTGCATCAGCAGCCGCCTGGCGCGGGGTGTTTGGGGACATTCTCTGAAAGTCTTAGCGGCCTGTACACCTTTGCACCCAGGGATGAATTTATTCTAGGAGAAAAGGAGCATTGATTACAGATTTCTGTGCAAAGACCGCGTTATAAAATTAAGTAGTAAAAAATGGCAAGCAACCTAAATGCCCAGCAGTCCGGGATTGGTAGGATAAATTTTGGCACATTCGTACACTAGAATAATGTACGGTCATTAAAGATTCATCGTTTCGGTATCAAACAGCACGCATGGTGACGGAGATGCAGCCGCTGTGTTTCCCACGGGCTGGGAGGGGGCCTGTGAGGGAAGCCGTGGGCAGCAGGCGGCCGCGAGGGTGTCTGGCCCGGTGGCCACCAGCTGTCTGCTGCTGCCTAGGGGCTGGGGCTCTTGGCGATTTTTATGTATATTTTTTCCTGCGGGCTTCCCAAACAGCTGTAAATTTCCATACATCTTTCACAGTTTATTTTGTGCTTATTGTTAATTTTGAAAGAATATATGACCTCATAAAGTCAAGTAGGTTTGTTTATATAATGTTTTTGGCATGTGTATAAGTGAATTCTCTGTGAGTCTGTTTGTCTTTGTGTTTTTCACTGAAGCTTAAAAAAATTCCCTAAATGGCCCTGGCTGGTGTGGTTTAGTGGATTGAGCACCAGCCTGAGAACCAAAACGCTGCCAGTTCGATTCCTAGTGCAGGACACATGCCTGGGGTTGCAGGCCAGGTCCCCAGAAGGGGGCATGTGAGGGGCATATGATGCTTCTCTCTCTCTCTTCCTCCCTCCCTCCCCTTCTCTAAAAAAAAATAAATAAATCTTTTTAAAAAAATGGATCCTTTTAAAAAAAAATTCCCTAAACAATACCAGCATTTACCCAAGAAATCGTAACAGCACAAGTAAACTGTGCAAGCTGCTCCCCAGGCCAGCATTGCTTCCAGCTGCGGCGTCCAAGGTGGCTGTCCGTAATTAGCTCACAGATTTTTAAAGGCATGCCAGCTCACCTTCTTTGATGTGAATAATTTGTTAAGCAAATCATCACTAACGCGTTTGGGATATCCAGATTTTCATGCGGAGGGTCCTTGAAAGCAAGGTGCCCTGTGTGGGTGCTGTGCCCCTTTTACCAACATTGAAGGCCGGGGAAGACATTCAGGTGCTTGTGTATTTACAGAGCAGCATCTGTTCTCAAACACCAGCCTCTCCACGGAAGGTAAATAACAAATCCATGGAATGTAAGTAACCGATAGAGTTTTGGCATTAAAAGTGTATGGGTTAAACACATCCACATTTTGTTGTTATAGTTAAGAAATAACAAACTCCTGCCCTGGCTGGGTAGCTCAGGAGGCTGGAGTGTTGTCCCCTATGCACCAGGGTTGCGGGTTCGATCCCCAGTCTAGGCACATGCAGGAATCAACCAATGAATTCGTGAATGGGTAGAGCAACAAATCGATGTTTCTCTCCCCCGCTTCCCTTCTTCCTCCCTCTCTAAAATCAATTTTTTAAAAAGAATATAACGAACTTCTGTGAATAACTCTTCTCATTGGCATTTGAACCTCTTTAGATAAGGAAGGATTTAGCCCCGTTTGTTTTTTTTTCACTCAGCAAATATTTTAGGACCTCTCCCTCTTGGGGAATAAGTTTATTAACTAAGCTTTTATCTCAAGATATTTGGTCTTAGTCAGGGAATACTATCAATTATTCTTTGAGCTTCCCAGTTGTTTCCAAATTTGGTTAGGTCTGCTCAGAGCGGTGGGGGAGTTCTGCGATTTTCCTGGAAGGGGAGAGAATTAATGACAGGAGTTAGATAAAGCAACCCGTAGGTAGAGGTTTCTTTCCTCTCCTCTCTTCCTTTACCTTGGAATTGCTTAGCAGTGGTGGCGGGGCTGGGGGAACCAAGTTAGAAGCCCCCGGGGGGAGGAAGTCAGCTGGTTCCATTCTTTCTGCTTAGCAGCACGGGGGGAGGGGCCGAAGAAATCCAATGAAAATCCACCCCTCTGAAGCACTGGCCTAGTAAAACCCTGGCCCGGAAACCGAGGGTGCCAGGCAATGGCCTTCAGAAGGGTCGCTCCAGTTTCGAGGCAGGCAGGTCGAAACGCTGCTCGAAAGGAGAAAAAGATGAGAATTGCCCCACGTAGGACTCATTCTTGGCGCCCTCACCTCCTGGTCTGAGCCACGGCGGGCTTGGCGCAAGTTCTGTGACCGTGAACACCTGCGGAGCTCACAGGAAGGGAGAAAAAGATGAGAATTGCCCCACGTAGGACTCATTCTTGGCACCTTCCCCCGCTGGTCTCCGCCAAGGCAGGCTTGGTGCAAGTTCTGTGACCAGGAACACCCGCGGAGCTCCCGGGAGCCAGAGAGGCAGGCTCCCTTTCCTCTTAAATAATGCCGCACTGTCGTCCATATTTTCTCTCTCCCTTGTTGTTTTTTGTTTCTTATTTTTTTAAGATTTTATTTATTTATTTTTGGAGAGGGAGAAGGGCGGGAGAAAGGGAGAGAAACATCAGTGTGTGGTTGGTTCTCGAGTGCCCCCTACTGGGGACCTGGCCTGAAACCCAAACATGTGCCCTGACTGGGACTCGAACTGGCAATGCTTTTGGTTCACAGGCCGGTGCTCAATCCACTGAACCATACCAGCCAGGGCTCTCCCTTGTTTTTATTTTTTTTAAATCTTCGGATACAGTGAGAATTTGGGGGTGTGCGTTTCTTTTTCTTACCATTGCCATAGAAAGTTAAACACATTGTATGGACTTTAAAATATAAAGGTAATAGGGTATTCTGTTCTGGAAATATCTGTACACCTTGGTTTGGGAAAAAGTCCATGCTCATTGTGGCTGCTGCCCCCTTACGGCCGAGTCTCTGTGCACAGGGAGACATGTTTCTGAGCAACCAATGGCCGTCCTTCAGACGAACTCAGAAGAACATCTGTTGTTCTCAGGCCATGTTGCACCTTTCTGGTTCTGTCATTTGACCCACAATGTGGGGGCCCGTCTCCTTGGGTCCTGGTACCGAGCTCACGTTAAGGCACACAGCCCCCTCCTGGCCATGCGGACATGGGTGCGGGGAGGCGTGGGCCCTGGGCTGGGGCCCCCGGGCCTGCGCACATGGGGCTGAGCCCCGGAGAGGCGAGTCTGAGCCCCGGAGAGGGAGTCTGCGGCCACCCGCTCGGCAGGAGGCGGGACAGGACTGGGACGGACAGCCCCGGGGGAGGGCCGGAGCTGTACCAGGAGTGACAGGCGCTCCGGCACAGGGCCTGCCTGGGCCAGGGTCCCGGCAGCGACACGGTGGGTGCGTGGTGTGCCGTGCCAGAAGGCGCCGGGCGGGCCCTTGGTGAGAGTGCGGCGGGGACCCTGGCAGGCACAGATGGCACCTCGGAGGCTGTCGCCTTGTCCTCCCGAAGGAAGCGGGACCAGAGCCCTAGGGTGGGGCAGGTCTGATCTGGAGGTGGGATTTTTGCGGGGGGTCAGGGGGAGGTTCCTGAATGGTGGGTGGAGGGACTGGGTTTTAGAAACCCGTTAGCGCCAGAGGATGAGGAAGGATGAACCCAGGAGACGCTGAAGTTTCCATTTGGGCCACAGTAACTGGGGGAGGGAACAGGCGGTGGAGCGACATGGAGTTGCGTTTGGACCTACTGAGCCTAGGCAGGGCTGCCTAGATGGCAGCAGGACACACAGCAGCACTGGGGGCGGGGGGTGGCATGTGTCAGTTTCTTTGTGACAGGGAACTCTGGGGCCTCCCGACTCAGTCACTCCCTGTGCACTGGGCTCCCCGCCGGGCTGGCATCGCTACCTGTCTCAGCAGGCAGGGCAGGTCCCTGCGCCTCGGGACCTGTTACCATCGGGAAAAGCCCAGCTCCCTGCTTGTCTTTCCAGGCTGCTCTCGCCAGCACCTCCCGGCCTCTGGAAGCCCAGCTCCATAGCAGCCTTGCTGTTCAGGGCCTAGCTGTGGTCACAGGCTGGCCGGTCATCGGAGTCACTAGCAGACGTGACGGAAGACGTGCCTGGCTCCTGTGCAGAGGGCTACAGAGGAGGGAGAAGGCCCGGCCCCCGCATCTGGGTCTGCCCGCTCGGGCCCCTGGAGCAGAGTGCAAGGCAGGGCCGGGCCACAGGCCCAGGGGGCAGACGCTGGCAGAGCCATTAGCCCTCCGCCAAGACCCCTGGGCTTCCATATATTTTTGAATTATTTTGGCATTTTTGATGCAGCTCTCTGCGCTCCCGTTTGATCTGGGCATGAATGGTGGCATTAAAATTAGGGTAGGCATTTACGGCTGTCAAGTCACCCGCTGAGTTGTAAGAGTTCATTAGATGAGATCATCTAAGATAGTCACTTTGCATGCATCGGCCCTGCGGATGTTCACGCTCCTGTTTTTTTCTCCCCCCAGTCTGCATGAAGAAATCAGCGACTTCTACGAGTACATGTCCCCGCGGCCGGAGGAGGAGAAGATGCGGATGGAGGTGGTGAGCAGGATTGAGAGCGTGATCAAGGAGCTCTGGCCCAGCGCGGACGTGAGTGCCCGCCGGGGCGCCGGGTGGGCGCTGTGTGTCGGGTCTCGTTCTGAGTTCCCCGGGCGGCTGTCGGTGCCTCTGCCGAGCGATGGCCTAATGACGTTTTGAAGGCCGACAGTGTTCTCCAGCCCTTAGAATTGGGCTTCCGAATCGCTGGCACCAAGTGGGCGCCTCACTTAGGACTGTACTGCTCCGCAGTGCTGGTGGGCTTGGCGTGGGCGGGCCAGGAGCCATGCCTCCTCGCGCAGGTGCAGGGGCGTGTCCGGGTGATTGTGTTCCGGCCTGATGGGGACGACGTCGGGGCGCTGTTTCCAGCAGCTGAAGAGGTCGGGTGGGAAGGGCTCCTCCTGTCCCCTGAGGTTCATTTTCCTAGACAGAGGCAGCGTCTGCTCCATGCACACCCAACCCCCGCCCCGCCCCGCCAAGGTTGCCCCTTTGTCTTTGTGGTCCTTGTTCCTACACTGAGTCAGCGCTGCACTTTTTTGGGCTCCCTTGAGGACTTGTAGAGTTTTGTGCTTTCGAAGAAGTAATCTGTTAGAATCCCCTACTGTGTGTTATGTAACTGTTCTTTAGACTCTGTCCTGGGGTGGCGAAGGGGCAGCCGGGGAATTTTTTTTGGGGGTGGGGTCCAGTTGACAAAACAGAGATGCTTCATGTGAGACCCTGTAGGCGAAGGGAAGCGGGGAGGACTCAATACTTGCCTGAGCAGCTGCCACGTGCCACGTTGCTTCTCCCATTGATCTACGTCAGTGGCTCTCAGCCGGGGGGGTATCTGCCCCCCAGGAGGCATTTGGCATTGTGGGCTGGAGACGCTTCTCATGATCATGACTGGTGAGGTGCCCCTGGCAGATGCAGGGCACAGGCCAAGGGTGTCGCTGAACATCCACAGGGCACAGGCCAGCCCCCTGCAACTGAGAACAGCCTGCCCCAAAGGCCAGTGGTGCCGAAGGGAGAGACCCTGATCGCAGCCCCTCCTTCTCCTGAGGCGGTGGCTCTGTCCCTGTCGTTTGACAGACAGGAAGCCTATGCCGGGGCCCGGGGCCCGGGACCTGGGGCCAACTGTCCTCCGAGGTGGCGCTGTTTTTCACCCTCACCCTTTGCTGCAGTCACTCACACAGGCACTCCGGCCCGAGTCTGCCACCGCGCTGCCACTGTGTCCTGGCCTTGTGCCACCGCACGACATCCTCACAGCCACCGTTCTCTGTGGTGTCATCATGCCGGCCTGCACGGGAACGCTCGTCCTGGGGGAGGGGGGGCCCTCTGACCCCGAGTGGGGAACCTGTGGCGTGACTCCTGCTCGCAGACCACGCAGCAAGGGCTTGTGATTGCAAGGGAACGCTAGTGACCTGAGTGTTCCTTTGGAAAGTTTTCTTTTTTCGCCTGCCTGTTTGATGTTCGAACCTAATAGGTTTAACTGCCTTCTGAGTGCCCAGGGGGTGGAAAACTGCTCCTGCAGTACTCAGCAGGGCCAGGAGAGGGCAGCAGAAGCCGGCACTTCGCGGCACGGTGGCAGCTCAGCTGAAAACAATAAAATAATTGTTTCTGTTTCAGGTCCAGATATTTGGGAGTTTCAAAACTGGCCTGTATTTACCTACTAGGTTAGTATATTAATGAAGCTCTCAAGAGCTTGTGCGTTTTTCTAGAGCATATTTATTTCGGCTGTTGAATGTGTAAGTGTAGAAAGAAACAGTTTTGAAACACAGGTTTCCGGGCTGCATTTCACCTGAACTGTCTTGACGTAGAGGATCACTTCAGCCAGCTCATGGGACAGCACAGGTGTTGTGTCCTCTCAGGTGGGTAGACAGGGTGCGCGGCGGTGGCTCCAGTTAGCGGCTGTCACCATGCCCCACCCTGCGGACTGCTGGGCTCATCCCTTAACCCGCCAGCCTACAGGCCCACAGCAGGGATGCTCGGGCAAGACAGTGCTTGTGGCGCAGGCCATGCGGCTCCAGGGCCAGGCCTCCTGGCGCGGGGAACCCACCGTCCGTCGCCCACTGTGGCGCACCAGGCCCCGGACGGCTGGCACAGCTGCCCCTGCGGTCGGTCGGCCTTGGTCTGCTCAGGCCTGTGCAGCTCGGCGCCTCACGGCAGGGCCAGCGCGGCCTGGCCCTCGGCCCGGGCGGGGGGCCCTTTGGGGCGGGAATGAGGATTCAGGTGGTGTGGCCTTGAAGGGAAAACCTTCCATCGTGGTTCATGTTTTGTTTTTATTGTGGTAAGAACACTCAACATGAGATTTGCTCTCTTAACAAACTTTGAAGGGCCAGGTGCGATACGTAGGTGTCCCTCCTGCTGTTTGACTGGACCTTGCTGTGACGCCTTCCCCACACTTACAAGTGTTGCAGTGGGCGGACCCCGGCAGCTCCCGCTCTCCCAGTGCCGGCCTAGGCCTGGGAAGGCCAGAGAAGAGCCAACTCGGAGCTCATTAATATTTTTCCTTATTTAGGTTCTGAACTTGAGCAAAACCCTGAGCCACTCTTCCTAAAAAATTTAATTGAACTTTATGAGAAGTCGGTGCAACCCCATAGTTCAGATTGGAACAGGGCGCAGAGGCGGTCACGGGGGCCTGGACCGCCGTGTCCCCAGCCGCGCCCTCGGAGGGGCCGCGGTGCAGTCCTCGCGTTCCTCCTGCACGCGCCGCCCATGTGGAAGGAAGCATGTGCGGCTGGGCTTTCTGTTTTACACAGTGGTGGCCTCACCCACCTGAGTGACGGGGCTTCTCAGCCCCCGAGCCCTTGGTGAACAGGAACCGGTGGCTGGTGCTTTGTGAGGTCCTCCTCCCTGCACAGCTGCTGTTTCCTGAGGCCGGCGTGTGTGAAATGACTAAGTGGAGGCGCTGGTACTGTGCTGGCCCCCCGCTTCAGCCCTTTGACAGTCACCAGCGACACCCTGGGGCTCCGGGGGCGGGGGCGGGTTTCAGGCCCGCGTGTGCTGTGTGCAAGCACGGGTCTGGGTTGAAGCAAGTGCGCTTCCTTGCCGCTTCAAACCCCCTGTGGGCGTGTGTTCTGTGTCCAGTGACATCGACCTGGTGGTGTTTGGGAAGTGGGAGAACCTCCCCCTCTGGACCCTGGAAGAGGCTCTTCGGAAACACAAAGTCGCAGATGAGGACTCCGTGAAGGTCCTAGACAAAGCCACTGTGAGTTCTCCCCCATTTTCTCCTCCGGGCTCTGGTTCCTCGTGCGCGAGGCTTAGGAAGCTGACGTCCAGCCTGGGTGAGCAGGAAGCAGACAGGCCGGGCCCGCGCAGGTGTTTCTGTCAGAAAGACCCCGCATGGCTGTGCCGGGCGGAGGCAGGTGCGGATGCCTGGGCCACGCGCAGGGCGCAGGGGTGCTGCGCCCGCCCCTCCCAGCGCAGCCCCAACACGGCGTCTGCAACTCAGGTCGCCTCAGCCAGGCCTGGCTGTAACGGCACTGGGAATGGCCACGGGAGGGCTTTGTGGAAGCTTAAGATACATCTACTTAAGAGTTTGGGTTTTTGCATACTTTGTTTTCCTGAAGCAAAACAGCTGGCATTGTTCTTATAAAAACTCGCTGAGCCAGGTCCCCGTGGGGGGCGTGTGGGAAGCAACCACGCACTGATGTTCCTCTCCTTCTCTTTCTCCCTCTCTTTTCCTCTCTCTAAAAATAAATCTTTAAAAAAAAAAAAAAAAAGGCAACCCCACTGATTTGGAACCTGGCTCCGCGCAGCCTGTACCCCCGCGCCTCCTACGCTGTGCACATTGCATCTCCCTCCTGACGTCTCACGTAGACCATCCTGTCGTTTCTCACGTGGGGATAATTCCTGCGTTTTATCCTCTCTCCTGGGTCATGTTTTGAGCTCTTTGCAAAACTGACCCATGACGCCAGTGAGTTGTGTGCGAGACTTAGAATCTAGCCATTTTCTTACTAGAAACTGTTCAGTGAAGTGCTTGACACTCATAATTGATGTTACATTGAGTAGGAAGCTGTTTTCCAAAGTACATAATAATGTCAAGAAAGGCTTCTGTCACTCGTCTCAAAATTCTCAGCCAAAAGATAATGATGAATGAAATAGGTTGTAGGAGGTAAAATGCCAACCATGCAAAGGGACATTTCTAGAAGGCAGAGTGGCCGTGGTACGCAGTGTCCAGAATATCATGTCCCGTGAGAAGGTCAAGACCTCAAGTCTGGTGACCTTCCCTGCCCTGATTCTGTCACGTGGTTTCGTTCCAGTATTTTAATTCTACCTTTCTACCCTTCTAGGTACCTATTATTAAACTAACAGACTCTTTTACTGAAGTGAAAGTTGATATCAGCTTTAATGTGCAGAATGGCGTGAGAGCAGCGGACCTCATCAAAGATTTTACCAAGGTCAGGGTCACAGCGTGTGTTCAGCGCGGCTGTTGGAAGCGGGCGTTGGCTCTGAGGTTCTGTTCTGACTCCACTGAACTGTTTGTCCGTGCGTGTAGCTGGCAGATGCTTCTCTTCTATGCTCTGGTTTTACTGTCCTTAAATTCGCTTGTAACAATTAGTGCCTTTCATGTGACCTCAGGTGAGAGTGCAAGGGTGCGAAAGCTCGTGAAGAACCTCTCTGCTCTTAGGGAGACACGGCTGAAGTCGTGGGTGGGGTGGGACCCAGTCTGCTCGCAGTCTCCTGGCGGCCGCATCGGAACCGGTCGGGGAGGGGTGCCTCTCCTGGACGTTAGTCCCCAGGTCACCTGGGAGGTGCCCCCTGCAGGCTTCCGGACTCTGCCCGTAGGGGCTCCGGTCTGCTGCTGGGTCTCTTTTCCCCCAGGGCAGGGGAGGGCTCGTCAATGGGGAGGGGGAAGTGGCCACCTGGTACCTCTGTGGCTCAGATTGGCTTTCTATCATTAGCCCTGTTTTTTCTTGTTTATTCTCCTCTTGAAATTTAACAAAAGGAATAAATAGCTCCCTGTATGCACAATATATTACACTTTTTTAAACTTAATATTTTAGAGGTTTTCTTCACATCAGCACAGACATGTTTCTTTCATTTACAGCTACTATTTCTGACTTTGACCATAATGTTTAAAAACGATTATTCCTCCATACTTTGGTTGCCTCTCATGCTCATTTACTTTGACATGATTTGCAAAAGAACATGCTTTCCTTCCTTATGGAAGCATGCGTGTTCCTAGTAAGTGTCAGGAAGAAGCTGGACATCCCTAGTAACTCCCGCACCTCTAGGTCATGGCTGCGAAGGCTTGTCTCTAGAAGCTAGTGCCTGCCTCATCCCCGTCCGTGTCCCCAGCCTTGGGCCCGGTCCCCGTGGGCCAGTTCAGGTGGGCTCACGTGCTCTGTGAAGCAGGGAAGGTTCCAGTCACCTGCCCCCATGGAAGCCAGCAGGTGGGGCTGCTCCTGGCCGGGCAGAGCCATCTCCATGACGCGCCGACAAAGTGATGCCTTCCCATCCCACTGGCTGCGCGCTCTGCGAGGGGAGACTTTGTCCCGCCCCATTTTGTTACCTGCTCACAGCGAGCACCTCAGGGCGACGGCCAGAAGCAAGCATCATCAAGACGGGGCCGCTCGTGTTTCCGTCCGGTCGCAAGTGCTGCGGAGCCTCTTCGCACCCGCACACTTCTGCATTCCCGTAGCGTGCTTTTTGGTAGCTGGCTCTTAAAATGGAAAATTAAGCATCTCCACGAAAGTTTGCAGTGTATAGACCAGTTTATGCCTAGAAACCTGTATACTGTTGAAACCTGTATGCTGTTAATGCTTGGAGCGAGTCCTCATGTAGGGGTTCACTAAAAACTCATTTCTTCTTTTTCAGAAATATCCTGTGCTGCCGTACTTGGTGCTAGTGTTGAAACAGTTCTTGCTGCAGAGGGACCTGAATGAAGTGTTCACAGGCGGCATTGGCTCTTATAGCCTCTTCCTCATGGCGGTCAGTTTCCTCCAGGTGCGTCGTGGCCCCGACGTGCTGTGGGCGCTGCACGTGCGGTGTGAGCGGGGGCTCATTTCAGGAAAATTCAGGTCAAACCTCTTCATTGCAACGTTTCCGTTGGTTACTTAGGACTTTTTAAACTGGGTATCTTTTTGTAATTTAGCAGGTAAATATGTAAAAATCCCTAGGAAAGGATATTTATTTTTTTGTTTTTAATCCCTATCTTTTAGTATTTTTGAGACTTTTCTCTGCAAGTTTTAACATGCAATGGTATATCATGGTTTCCATAAGTGTAAATAGTGTAGAAATGCCCAAAATAGGAACGTCTCCTAAGCAGCTGGCCCCGTGAGTCCCGCTGGAGGAGACCTGCTCTGTGGGCGGGAGGCACGAGACCGCCCTCTGCAGTCCTGGGCGCGTCACGTGGCTCAGAGCGGCCACCTGCCTGGCTCTGCTCGGGAGTCAGTGGCGTCCTGCCGGGCCAGCGCTGCCCCGGGCGGCCTCCTGAGTTGTCCCGGCTGCCTCCGTGCTGTGTGGCAGGAGCACGGCCTCGTGACCCGCCGACCGCTCTGCTCCGAGTGTCGCCGTGTTGCTAGACGCCAGGATGTCATTTATGATCCCACCTCGCTAAGTCGGAGAATACCCAACATAATTTCTTTTTTTCTTCTTCTGGTTTTAGTTGCACCCCAGGGAAGATGCTTGCATCCCCAATACAAACTATGGTGTTCTCTTAATAGAGTTTTTTGAATTATATGGACGGCACTTCAATTATTTAAAGACTGGCATCCGGATAAAGGACGGTGGTTCATACGTGGCCAAAGACGAAGTACAGAAAAATATGCTGGACGGCTACCGGCCATCGATGCTTTATATTGAAGATCCTTTACAACCAGGTATTGAAATTAGGTAAATGTGTGGACGTTGTCAGTCACCATGTTGTTCTTGGAACTTTCTTTAGATAAGAAATTAAGGACCAGCTTCTCATTGTGGTCGTTCTTCCTTTCATCAAACTATTTCATAAGCAAAGATACAAAAATAAATGTACACCCCAGAAAAACACACTGTGGACTTTCAGATGAGTCAGGGGTGGAACCCACTAGGTTTTTTTTATTTTTTATTTTAAATTTTATTAACTCTTGGAGAGGGGAAGGGAGGAAGAAAGAGAGAGAGAAACATCCATGTGTGGTCGCCTCTCGCATGCACCCTGCTGGGGACCTGGCTTGCAACCCAGGCCTGTGCCCCGACTGGAATTGGACCGGTGACCCTTTGGTTTGCAGACCGGCGCTCAGTCTACTTGAGCCGCGCCAGCCGGAGCTCTGCACGACTCGCACAGGCAAAGAACGGGTGTGAGCCGTTGGGTGGGTGTCCACACATCTCCAGCTTGACAGCCTTTCCTTCTTTCTTGTGTCATCATGGCCAATTCCAACCTGCTGTCAGCCAGGGATTTTTTTATTATTATTATTGTTACCGAATTTATGAAATTACATAGGTTTCAGGGGCACAGTTCTACAACACATCATCTGTACATTGCACTGTGTGTTCACCACCCCAAGTCAAGTCTCCGTCCGTCGCTGTCTGTCTCCCTTTACCGGCCTCTGTCTCCCCCACCTTCCCCTCTGGTCGTCACCGTGCTGTTGCCTGTGGCTGTGAGGGTTTCTCCAGCCACGGCTCTACTGCGAGGATTCCGAAGTCCTCAGAGGCAGCCCCACGGTAACGTAGCTCAGACTCGCGAGCGCAGAGTTCACAGAGACAGTCGATTTCCTTTCCGAGTCTCCCCCTCTAATTGTGCACGGCCCCCCTGTGCCTTTCCGGCCTCACGGTGGCTTGGAAGTGCGCAGAAGAGGAGCCCCTCCCCTGCTGTCATGGCGTTGTGCCGGCTTGCTCATCTCCTGGTTGCTCTGGGCAGTCACATCTTTCCTGACGGAATCATAGAACACTCCGATTCTGCATTATTGGGCCTCAGTGGAAACGTTTTTAGTCATTTGCTTTAACTTTGCATTAGTCAATGCATTTTAAATAAAGTCAGGGCATTAGCTTTGAAAATAAGGCGGAAGAGGGTGTGGAGGAGCGGCCCGGGAGCCTTTTGTGGCTTAGGAACGTTAACCGTAGGGTGCACTTGGTCGCCGAGACGTTCGCTGGGAGCCCCCTCCACGAGGAGGACACGGAGCTGTCCCCACGGGGCGGTCCTTGCCCTCTAGAAGCTCCTGCTGTCGGGCGGGAGGTGGTCACAGAGCCAGTGGAAACATAAACTGGGTGTCTCCAGTTCACTGTGGTCTCACTCTTAGGACAGAACGGCAGGGACTCTCGTCTGCAGGACAGCCCCTGGGAGGCCAGAGGACGATAGGTGACCTGTACCCCATCACAGCTTCTCGCTTTGTGGTACACGCGCTCAGCGCCCGGGGCGGCGTGGGGTCCCCGAGCCCGAGCGCCACTCCAGTGGGACCGCCGTGCACTGCCCACGCGTCCGGAAGAGGGCCCGTGGGCGTGCAGTCACCGTGAGCAGCGGGCACACCTCCCTCTGACGCGCGCGCTCCGTCTGCAGGTAACGACGTGGGGAGGAGCTCCTACGGGGCCATGCAGGTGAAGCAGGCCTTCGACTACGCCTACGTGGTCCTGAGTCACGCTGTGTCGCCCATAGCCAAGTATTACCCCAACAACGAGACCGAGAGGTAACAGCTTCACTCAGATCAGCCCAGTGTGTCAGAGTTGGCTGTGGCTTCTTACCTTCCAAGTAATGTACCTGCCTCTTTTTTTTTTAAATGCATGCAGCATATTAGGTAGAATAATCAGAGTAACGGATGAAGTTGCCACGTACCGAGACTGGATATCAAAACAGTGGGGCCTGCAGAACAGGCCCGAGCCCTCGTGCAACGGTAAGTCTCCCGTTCATCGATCGACTATTCGAGGCTTTTCTGAATTGTGTGTGTTTAATGGGAAGAAACGTTTTCCAATCTTTTGCCACTCTTTCAGGAAATGGTGTTACCTTGATAGTAGATTCTCAGCAGTTAGATAAATGTAATAATAATCTGTCTGAAGAAAATGAAGCCCTTGGAAAATGTAGAAGTAAAACTTCGGAATCTGTTAGTAAACACTCTTCAAACTCTTCATCAGGTCCAGTGTCTTCGTCTTCGGCCACACAGTCCAGCTCTAGTGACGTCGTAAGTATGAAGACAAGGCGTTTCTAAACCTAGGCACCCAGACGCCTGTTGTTGGGGTAGCTGTCTAGGGGGCGACAGCGGACTCGTTTTCTGACTTGTCACTGAGGATCTTGATAATGCAAACACCTGTCCTGCTGCTCAGCATCGTAGTCATGTTTCCAAGCATGTAGCAAGAGTGAACGACTGGTAGCGAACCTCCGCCCACGCCAGCCCTGGGTCCACCACGCATGCCGTGCTCGCCCATCACGTACAGGCCAGCCACCCCGTCCGTCTGTCCACTCTTCCCTGACACACGTGTCCGTGAGCATCGCACGCGCCCCTGCACCTCCCCGGGGAGCCGTGGTGTGCTCCCCGCTGAGCAGGGCCCACTTTGGGTCTCGGTTTTGCTTTTGATACAAAATTGGCGCACAAGGAAATTTTAATTCTATGTCCACTAAATTTTCACACACACACACACACACACACACACACACACACACACGTATATAACAAACCCTACCACGACGAGAGGCTGCTCGCAGCACCCAGAGAGGCGGTCCCCTACCCACCCTCCGCGTGGTGCTGTCAGGGTGGCCTCGCACCGCAGGTCGCTTTGCCCCTTCCAGAATTTAAGTAAGTGGAACCATTGTGCACATACTTTTTTATGTAAAGCTTCTTCCACTCAGTAGTGATTTTGAGCTTCTTGGCTTAGCTTTTTCAAACTGAGATATAGTTCTCACAGTTGACCATTTTAGAAATGTGTAATTCGTTGGTTTCCAGTATATTCACAAGGTTGTGCGGACGTCACCTAATTCCAGGCGTTGCATCACCCCGAAAAGCAGCCTGTTGGCGGTCCCGACAGCCTCCCATCCCGTCCCCGCCCCGCCCCGGGCCGCCGCATGGGTCTGCCCGTGTCCTGTTCTGGCCGCATCTGGTTTCGGTTACTCCCTCGCGCTTTTTCCTGCCAGGGTTAATTTTGAGTTTACTTAATTGAGATCTAAAGTGGGCTTACCCATTATTTGAATTTTGACTTTGTGAGGAATGCGACATAAAAAGTAATCTAAATAGAGAAGGGACAGATTTGGATTGTCAACAAGGACCTGTGTCCCAGTGGCGTCATGAAGCCTCCTGAAGCCTCAGGTGCAGAACTGGCCAGGGTGCCTCTTTGCTTCGGGAGCAGAGCTGTGGAGGACAGGGTGCCAAGCTAGACATTCCAGACACGGGCGTCCACAGAGCCAGCCTGGGGACAGTGCGCTGGGGACAGAGCGTGTGACCCTGAAGTGCTGGGTGGGGTTGGGACTCAGGGTGGACCTGACGACAGAGCAGCAAGGTCACTGCCCCAGCAGCCCACAGCCAGCCAGGCTCAGCCTTGGTCTCTGGGGAGTCCGCGCCCACGGGTGCCGATGTGGAGGGCTCCCTGTGGCATTGGCCGTCACGGAGACCCAGGGATGGAGCCCCTCCAACCAGCCATTTTGTTTTTGATTGAAGAGACACTGACTTGGGTGCTGGCACCTCGTTCCCCCTCACAGCCCAGCTCCTTGCCCCGCACTGCGGTCGTTTGCTGTAAATAAAGATGCACGTGACTCGCGCAGCTCGTGCCTCCGGGCACCTCCCAGGTGACCGACCAGGTGGGGCGGGTGGAGGGTTAACAACGCACAGAGCCCTCTGCTAGAACAGGCCGTTTTCAGTGTTTGGAGGAAAACTTGGGCCGTTTGGTAAATTCCTCCGCGTGCCTCCCGAAAGAAACGCCCAAATGTTTGCCTCGGGCCCGGGGAGTGCGCTGCTGAAATTGTCATCCTGTCTTAATGTTCAAAGTCTGCATTATTAATGCATCACCTTGTAACTCACGTGACTCGTGTTAGGACTCCGACGCGACGCCATGCAAAACCCCGAAACAGCTGCTGTGCCGGCCGTCCCCCGGGAACCGCGTGGGGTCGCAGGAGGCGCCTGTGGGCACCTTGCAGGCAGGAGGGAAAGCGCAGAGCGCCCCAGCCCCAAGTGCGCCGGGCAGTGCCAGCAAGTCGCAGGTGCGTGCAGTGTTCTGTGCCAGGTATTTCCAGTCGCGTGTGTCAGGCGCCCGTCACAGGTTCGAAGAAAACCCCAGGATAAGAACAACCCCAGTTTGTTGTGAGAGGTTCCGAGCACAGCAGGGCTGCTCATCTCGGGGCGTCCTCGGGTCTTTGTGGGCTAGGGCTGTAGCAGAGACCTCTGTGGAAGTCCGGGCCCGGGCCTCGTAGGGTGTCTCAGCCTGCCACTCCTAGTCCAGATTCAGCGTTAGAAAGTCACATCAGGTTGCACAGGGTTTCACTGTCCTTGGAGTAAAGGCAAGTGCAGCTTTCTGCACGATTTCACAGCCATATTGTGCACGTCTGGGAATAGTTTGCTCTTACGCAGGGTCCAGCACAAATAACGCCCCATTTTTATTACAAAATCGTAAGCATGTGACTGTAACATAACAATATCACACTCAAGCACACCATATGATATTATAGGTGAAATGTTCCCATTAAAACTATAAATTAGTACACCCATATTATTACCCTGCCAACCACGCTCCAGCAGGCGTTACTTCTGCCGGACCCTGCATTTTTATATTCAATACCAAGTTGCCTAAGTTGCAATGATCGGGCAATGGCCACCTGTGTACACTTGCTTAGCATCTCAATCAGTTAAAAAAGGCCCCAGCAAGCTGCTAAGTACTTTTGTTGCCTAAAATTCTATCGCGAGTAATGAATCAGAATGAGAGGAAGAAGCTGCATCCTCCTGGGCTCCGACCTCTGGCCCTCGGACCCGCTCTGACCACAGTGGGACAGGGGCGGCAGTTGGCAGCAGGGAGCAGCTGCCGTGTCAGCCCCCTTGTGCCTTTGGTGTGCCCTGCGGCGTCCACTCTACCTTTGCAGCCTTAGTCAGGAGCACCAAAGGCTCCTCCGGAAGTGGCAGCTCACGTGACGGGGGGATGGCGGGAAGGGGCAGCCAGCCGTCGTGCCAGGGACCTGGCAACGCGGCTGCGTGTCTGAGAGCCGCGGCGCCGGTTAGCACGCAGTGCGCGGGCTGTAGGCTCCCTGAGAAAAGTCTCACGTCCCGTCTAATCCATTGCGAAGGCCGGGCAGTGCTCTGGATTCCTCAGTGTCCCCAGTGAGAAGTGGCGTGTTTCGGAGCGCCAGCCTGTCAGCCCTGGGTGTGTCGTCTCCTGCCTGCCTCGTAGGCCTGCGTGGCCCTGGTTTCAAGAGGTCCCGGTGGTAGGTGTCAGCGGGTGCCGGGGTGCGACGCAGCGCTGACGTCTTTGTGCCGCTTCCTCTCCGCAGCACGGACCAGCCCGGCTCTTCCGCTCCTCCAGCAGAGGCTTCCAAGGCACAGCTCCAACAAGCCACGGCGCCTCGGTGACAGACAGGCAGCCCCCGGGCCGATCAAACAACCAGTATTTCCACGGCAAAAAGAGGAGGCACAGGAGGGACGCGCCCCTCTCAGACCTTTGCAGATAGTCAGCGTGGTGTGGCGGACCGTCCTCTGTCTAGAGACCTCACACCCAGGACAGCTGCCTGGGGACTCCTGGGGCACGTCCGAGCCTGGCGTGTCCACGTGTTGATTTAGCGGTTTTTCCCAGCTCGCCACTGAATGGATCATGAAGACTGACGGCTGCAAACACAAAACACAAAGAGAAAGGGGGGAAAAAGGCTGCTCATTCGATAAGTCAAATGCTACAACAGGGTCATTTTAAGATTTAAATCTTGAATGTAAATGAAATATATTTCTCATTGGCTTTATGCAGAGGTAGCGGGAATAGGAGTCAGTGTGGGGTGGGGGGAGCGGAGGAAAGCGGAACCTCGGAGGGCCGGGGAGGGAGGAAGGCGGGGATCCGTAGGAAGCCCGGCTTCCAGAGGGGGAGTTGACCTGTGCATGTTTTTTAAAAAATATTTTTGCATATATTTACCATTTTATTGTGTGTATATATAGATGGCCATATAGGAAACTGATATTTGTAATAGTGGATTTGTTAATACTTTTTACATAACATTACTGTTTAAATTGTAAACAGATTTCTCTCAGGATTAGTTTGCAAAATAATCTGATTTGTCATCTTAACATCCACATGTAGGGAAGTCATTAGTTCTCTTACTCGATTTGTTTCCCTTGGCAATGAAATGACCTAATAGGACCCTCGTGACCTGCTGCTGTGAGAAAGCGTCCTCTCTCAAGAAAAGGTTTACGGTGGCAAATGACGTTCATTTTATTTTGTACAAACAAATATATATATATATCTGTACTATGTACTTTTGTGTGAGCACTGAAAAACCTCTCGTCATCTCTCAAAATTAACTTGCAACCGTTTTCTATAGTGCTGTCGTCTTGACTTCGTGTTTGTTTCCTTTGCAGTCTTTTTTTAATTTAATTTTACTTTTTTATTTTTTTAAATCTCTGACAGGGAGGGCAAGGCCGCTGGGCCTGGTCCCGCCCCCTGCGGCGAGCCCGGGCCGCGCGGACCTTGCACGCGCGCACCTTCGGCCCCGTGCGCTGTGTGTGCTTGCGTCTCTCCTCTCTTTTCTAAAACTCATGCTGAACAACTGTGGGAGAGAATACCTGTAAACAGCTTTAATTAAATCATACTTAAAAAAGACTATTTTCTTATACTCCACGTTATGCTTTTGGTATTGTTGATCTTTCACAATGAAACGGTCTTTGATAATGGGTCTATTTTGTATTGCCTTATTAAGACCAAATACTTCTTGTCATCCCATTCTTCATCCTCTCCTGCCATGGAATTGTTACCTTCAATTAAACTTTTTTAAACATCGGCTTGTTTCAATCATACTGTAAATTTTGGTTGTGGTCAGCTTTGAGTGCAAACGAGGTGTATATTTCTGTCTGTCGTTCGTCACATGTTGAGTTTGCAACTCGGGGATATTTCTATGATTGAATGTACGTGGCGTCTCTGAAAATGCTTTCTGTAGGTGAAAGCTTTTATGTTTAGCATCGGTGTGTGTGGCTCTGTTGATTGCAGCCATTTCTGAGATGAGATTCTTTTATATATGTATACACATAAAGTACTGTTGGCTTTTAGGAATTTCTTTTATATACATTTATGAAATACTAAAGACCAATCAGACCATTAGTGGACACTTAGTGCAACTTTTTATAAAGAAAATAATGCTAAAATAAGACCAAAACCAATGTCATCACTGAAAATCAGCAATTCTCAGTATGTTCGCATCTTAATTCACAACTGAAAACTGTTCCAGAACTGGAGACTCATGATACCTGTGTGAACCGTGAGAGATTTTAAATGTGATGTTACTTTGACAATGTTTTAAATCTTAAGAGTCACATTTTATCCTGATCAGAATTTTTATCAAGGTGTGTCGAGCTTTCGTTTTTTGAAACTAGTTTGTCATAACATTGTGTGCATAATCACAGTATTTATTTTCTAGGACTATTGTGAATGTGTAGACTTATGTTTACTGCTAAGGGAACAATTATTTATAAAATAAAATTAAATTCAGTATTAGCTGCCTACTTCAGACACTTAATACTTGCAGAGATCCATGTTACATTTTACCACACTGACTTTTTTTTTAAACAAACCGCCCTCATTGTTGAAAGTGAATGGACTCTTAGGGTGCAGATATTAGTGTTCAATAAGCATGTGATTTTATTAAAAGTGGTGGTAGCGGGAAGATAATCTTGATTCCATTGGGAATCTTAGGTTTTCGTAAATTTATTGGGAAAATAGTTTTTCCTGTACTGCTGAAGTTTCTTTTTGGTAAACAGTATCTTTCTAAAAAGAAAAAGCATGAAGGAGGAATTGAGGTGTGTACATTTCCTCAAATGACCAGCATTGTATACTCGTGAATACTGTGTATCTTGCAATGAACAGTGCAGAAGCCGTTCATTTTTCAAACTGAAGTAAAATACTTTGAAGAACTTCGAGTTTGCTTGCTCATTTGTTTTGTACATGTGCTCCCTGTTCTGACTCTGGTCCTGCTGCTTTGTTGAGTGCGGTACTTGAACGATGCGGTGAACCTGTCAGAAACACGTCACTTAAAAATTCCAGCCCATCTACTGTATCGTGACTCATACTCTTCCTTCGCCGGTACCTCTGGGTTGGGGGTTGCCACATTCTGCCGCACCATGGGGGGACTCTGGCGGTCGGGTGTGTGCCCGGTTGGCATCAGTGCTCCTTAAAAAGTCGTAATAAACATCTAAATACTGCTCGTAGAGGTGCTGATGACTCAGAGGGTTGCCGCCACGAAACCTGAGCAGTTCTGTGTCGATGACAAAGGTAAATGCCCTTTTCCCTCCAGTTCTGAGGTGTCTGCCCAGGTGCCTGGTTTTCAGCGTCTGCGTCCTGCTTGGAGAGGTTGCCCGTGGCCGGCGGACCTCGCTGTGGCCGGTGGGCACCGGCTGGTTTCACATGTAGGCGCCCTCCCATCTTCAGGGCTGATACCTCTGTGAGCATGTGCCACCTGGACTTGCCTCTGGCACGTCCTGGTCAAACATGGCTTGTCTGTTTCGGCTCAGATGTTCTGTCTTTTCCTTTAGAGCCTCCTCCCTACCTGTGTGGTCTTCCACACATCACTTCCACGTGATGGTAAGTGTGAGTTGTGTTTGCTGTAACCTGCGGATGAGGGTTGGGGGTTTTAGGAACCAAAGGCGGGTCAGGACAGGCTGACCACTGCCGGCCACTGTGCCCTGTGCTGTTGTGACCTGCTCCTTGCAAAGCCTGACCCAGTGATGGGTGCAGTTACCCAGGTGGCCCTGTAAAAATCCCTAGAAATCACCACAGTAGGGTCATCATGATAAGTTTTACTGATATTTTTATTAGTTATGACTATAGTGTCTCAATTTTAGTATTACACAGTTTTGTCAGTTCCTTCCATTATAACACGCTGTTGATTTCTCAATGTTAGTCACTAATTAGGAATGTTGACAGGAAAATTGAGTGCTTCTGAATTAACTTTTCAGAAATTAAATGCTAAAATATCAATGACATGGCCCGTTGAGCTGTGAGAAAGACCGAAACGTGAGGCTGAGTCATTGGAAGCGTGCGTTCTTACCAATTGGTTCCTGCTGTCCTAGCTCATTAAACTGCATTAGTGGGAAGCAACGTTCTCATGAAGTATTTCGTGAGCAGAGCATTCTCTTAAGTGGCTCTGTTAAACTTAATTGAGCAGAAAAATTATATTTCACAGTTACTTTTTATCCTAATTGTCATTAGTGACATCGTTCCTCCAGCGAATGTTTAGAGAATATGTCGCGTGGAAATGGGGACAGGGATCTGCGGTTACTTGGATGTGTCTCCACAGCTTCTGAACCTCAAGACCAGTTCATGCCGCGTTGTCCAAACACTTACGGGCAGGATCAACGTTAACACTGAACAAACGTCCGTGTGCTGCTTGGCATGCAGCGTGACCGAGGAACGAGCCAGGACTCGCTGCAGAAGCGTCCGCCTGCCTCGCACGCTTGACGTGCCCCGGGGCCTTGTCCCCGACTCTTCTCAGGAACCGTGTTGACTTGACACCTGAGACAACTTTTCATCAGAGATAATGAGCCGCGTAAATCGAATGTTAACAAAATTATTAACCAGAAGAATTTCTTGGAAACTACTGACCTATTTGATATCCAGAATTAAATATTTACTTAAGGACAGTTTTTAGTTAATAAGCTGCTGATGTTTGTTTTATGTCAGGGGTGGTTTTGTGTGTGTGTGTGTGTGTGTGTGTGTTTTAAGTCTTTGGCCTTTGCACTTTCTACTCAAGTACGAGCATTAACGTTGAACCTAGTCTGTCGTCTGCCCACACACAGCCAGCGCTGCAGAAGGAGCTGGGCCCCCTCTGGTTACTGCAGGCGCGAGGTACCTGCTGGGTTTTCTGGGAGAGACAGGCGCCGTGTCCACAGCAACAGGTGATGGCAAGGCAGTCAGGTGTTCTCTTAATTTGTGTGTTTTAGCTAGTGTTTATTGGTATTTATATATGATCTTTATTTTAACCTAAGTCCTTGTGGTTCCCAGCGACGTGGCTACTTTTCCCGGCAGCAGCTTCGCATGGTCTGGAGGGACTTGCTGGGAGACTTGTTTTATCTTAAGGTGCTACAGTAATGAGGTTCTGAAGTAGAACAAACTGGCCGTTCCCTGCTCGGAGGGGGCCGGGGGGAGGCCCTGAGGCCAGTGACCGTGAAGGTTCCCTGGGCCCTGCTTGCCTCCTGGGGGTGACGAGTCAGCCGTCCCTCCTAGAGCGAGATGACTGGTTGGCAGCCACAGGCACCAAGTTTAAACCTCCCTTCTCCTTTCGCCCCGGGTTCTGTGCGGGTCATAGCCGTTTCCTAAATCATGTTATTATTACTTTTGGTTACAAGTCACTACCGGTCTCTGTCCCTAAACTTAATCTCAAAAACTTAAGATCCCCTCCGGTTTTTAGATATATTGAAATTTTCAGGAGTCACTTTTTAAAAACGAGCCTTTTCAAAGTCCTGGAGCCCTAAAATCTGAAGACCTGTTAGGGGATGTATCAGCGTCCATGCTGTGCCCACCACCGACAGCGCCAACCCGGGTGGCCCGCTTGCGGTGGACCCAGGAAGGCGGCCGGCGGGGGGGGCAGCCCACGCAGTTCTGGGCGTGAGACCTTAGAAGCGCGCTTGTCAGTAGGTGCGTCGGTGTAGAAGTTGGGTGAACCTGTGTTTACTTTCAATAACTGTTTTATTTATTTCCCCTGATCAGCAGTGCCTTCTGTGTTAAGAAGTGTGGACTCCTGGGACGTGCTGGAGGCCTGAATCATCCTGAAAGCTTTCCGGTCTTCTCTAGTTACTGCTGTAGAGGCACTAAGGAAGTTACCAGGAAAAAAAAAGAGATTTGATACAGATGGTTTAGGACATTGCGACACCTCCGAGGTCCTGTCACTGGGCACCAGTTATCAATACTGTGAACGAATGGCACCCCTGGAAGTTTGGGGTTATTTTTTTAAGCTAATGTGTTCTTCAAAATTGACAACGATGTCAATTTTTTGCCTTGAAAATTTTATAAATTGCATTTCTACGCACAGCTGTGCCCCAGCGCTCACCACTGGGTTTATTGTTCCTAATCTGCATTTCAATAAAGGCTTTGTGCTTCCATTTGTCTTCCAAACCTCTGGTATGAGCCTTTATGTGAAACCTGAGTGGCTACTTTTACTTAATGTATCTTGTAATTCGGAAGACAGGCCCAGTTAGACAAAGCTTTTCTCCCACGGAGAAGGCATTCCTGTGGTTTTCGTCCTTGTTCCTGCCAGCGGGGGCATGGGTGGGGCCTTCAGGTGCTCTGTCTGTCTCCTGCCCCCAGGTCCTGGTCACGGGAATCCCTCAGTCTCACCGCAAGACTGGAAATTAATTCCCTGGAATTGTTGTTGGCAAATGCCAGCCCAGCTTTATCCTTTGCTTTAGTGAAGCAAGGGGTTGTGCTTGCACTGAGAAATGGGGATGCTTCGCTACACAGACCGTTAGAGTGACGAAAATGTTTGCTTCTCCAAAGAACAGAGGAAGCAGGATCCGTAGGCAAGTGCAGCCAAACCGCTTTCTGGAGTTCTGCCCCCTCGGGGAGCGGAGCTGGCAGTCCCGTGGCTGGACCGAGGGCGTGGGAAGCCGCAGGCGTGGCGAGCGAATCCCGGGTGGTCCACGCGGTGGACTCCACAGGATCCCAGGCCGACGGAGAGGGGAGAGCAGTCAGACTCGAGATCACAGCCGCTCCAGCCTGCTTGCTGTGTACACATTTACTGGCAACTGTCTCTTTAAGAGAATATAATGTTAAGTAAGTTTCTTAAATGATAAATTACAGATTGAGCAATATACAGGCGATTTTGTCCATCTCTCCAGACAGTGGGTTTACTGAATTTCTCAACCAACAGCGACTGTGTGTTCCACTGTGAAGGCCGTGAGTGGCCGGGGAGTACCTGACAGAAAGGGTCCCGGCTCCCTTCGCCTTCTCGTACCCCTGACCCCCTAAAGCTGGTTGCTTTACTATTTTGGGATGTATCCTAGATTTTTTAAAAAAACATTTACAGCCCTGGCTGGGTCACTCAGTTGGTTAGAGCAATGTCCTGATACGCCAAGGTTGCGGGTTCAGTCCCCAGTAAGGGCACGGACAAGGCTATGCAAGAATCATCCAATGAATGCTTAAACAGTGGACCAACAAATCAGTGTTTCTATCTCCTCTCTCGCTCTCTTTTTCCCTTTCTCTCTTTAAAATCAATAAAAAAAACTGACATATACAGACATGTCTGCACATGCATACTTTTAGGGGGTCTTCTCTGCTTTTACACAGGGGCACCACAGCCAGGTTCTGCAGCTCCCCACTATGTAGAGAAAGCTTCCCCTGCTGTCAGCACACAGGTGCGCCCCTTTTTACGGTGCAGACGTTTGCTTGCAAGTACCTGTTGAACGTGTCCAGTGCCCACAGGAAATGTGTGGCACATGCCAGCTCACCCTAAATACGCACTTCATAGAGTATTGCTGTTCGATGGCACTGTTCTTCCCAACTGAGTTTATTGTTAAGAATTCTCTCGGTTTCATCTTGTGTGAAACGAATGTTTGCAAGTCGCTTCGAGGAGTCTTGTCTTTGGACACACGTGCTGGGATTGAAACACCGCCCAGGTGACGTGGCCACCTGCAACCTGCCGCTCCGGGCCCCCTGTTGGCCCTGTTCAGGAAATGCGGCCCTGGGCAAAATGGAGGGAATCTGCCGCGCTGGCCATTCCCCACCCCCCACCGCCTCAGACGGGATCTCTCCATCGTGAGGCCCTTCCATGACGGCAGGAACACACTCTCAAAATAAGTTCCCTGTCTTGAAGTAGGACGGGTCGCCCCTTGATCAGAGAGGGAACGCTGGCAGGAAAAACATCCAGGATGCGGCACT